TGAGTAGGCCGTGGCCAAAACCGGTTCAATGCCCATTAAATAAACTAATATGGGCACGGTTAAAATGGAACCGCCACCGCCAATAAGGCCCAGGGTAAGCCCAATAATTAAAGCCGCTGCATAGCCGATGTAAATGCTAATTTCCATAGTGCATGGCAAAGGTACATTGGCGTCAGAGGCCGGGCAGTGAGGAATATCACATTGGCCGCATCGAGAATTGGCTGTTCGGGCTGCATTTTCCTCCGGCATCAAAGTTTAATGTCGCAAGGCAGGAATAAATAAGGCCGCAGTAATGTGAAAGCTTGGCAGGCGTCTGACGGCTAAAAGCCTTCTGGCGCTTCTTTTCGCAAGCAACAATTCACAAATTACGCATCTGATGCCACTAAATTTTGTCTTCCTTCCGGCTTAGCGAATGGGCTCCAATTACGGCCAGCAAAACTGGTCCAGCTTCGGTACTTTCCGCCAGTTGGCCCAATCTGGGTGGAGCGCAAACCTCCTGGGCTTTACCCGAATGAAAGGAAATGGGCAGGCAAGCCTATTCAATAATCGACATCCAGCCGTAGGTGTCTTCCTTTTCACCGCTCCGAATGGCGTTCAAAGCACTCTTAATTTTTAGGGCGTATCCGTCTTCCGGGGTGGGGATTTCATAATCGTGCCCGCGATACCCAATGGTTGAAATACGGCTCACCACCGCAGCGGTGCCCATACCAAAGGCCTCCTGCAGACGGTTTTCCTTGGCGGCAGTTATAACCTCTTCTACCTTTATGGGGCGCTCTTCTACCTTGAGTATTTTGGTGTCGCGCACCAATTCTAAAATAGAATCGCGCGTAATACCCGCCAAAATACGGTCGCTTAAGGGCGGAGTAATCAGCGTATCGTCAATAACAAAACCAATATTCATGGTACCACTTTCTTCAATCAGTTCGTGGTTTTTGTGGTCGGTCCATATCACCTGTGTGTATCCTTCCTTGCGTGCCTGATCGGTGGGAAAAAAGGCTCCGGCATAGTTCCCGGCACACTTGGTGGAACCCACGCCACCGCTGGCGCTGCGGGTGTACGTTTCCTCTACCTTTACCTTTACGTTTCCCGCATAATAGGGCCCAACGGGAGAGGTGATCACACAAAAGGTAAATTTTTCTGATGGCCGCGCGGCTACAAATTCAGAACTGCCAAACATAAAGGGGCGCAGGTATAAACTGGAATTTTCATTGCGCGGCACCCATTTGCGGTCCATATCAACCAACTTCTTAATGCCGTCTACAAACCAATCTTCTGGAAACTCAGGCATAAACATGCGCCTGGCACTGTGATTTAAGCGTTTGGCGTTCATCTCCAAACGAAAAACACCAATGCGACCATCTTTCATGTAATAGGCCTTTTGCCCTTCAAATAAAGCCTGCCCGTAGTGGAGCGTATGCATGGCCGGGGTGAAGGTAAACGGTCCGTAGGGCTTAATTTCGGGCTCTTTCCATTGGCCGTTTTCAAACTCGCAAACCAGCATGTGGTCACTAAACTTAGTGCCAAATACCAGATTATCCCAATCTACATCTTGTATTTTGGTACTCTCGGATTTGGTGATTTTCATTTTTTGGATTTTTATTTGACAGTGCTGAGAGCTCATGCAGCCTCTGGCATATTTGTATCTTTGTTCAATAAAACAACAATAATGAAAAAGATACTTTTCTTTCTGGCGGCCACAAGCATTTTAGCCGCGTGCAAAAATAACACAAACCAAGGCGAAGAAAAAGCTGAGGCCCAAACTGAAGAAATGGCTTCACAAGATACTGAAAGCCAGGCTGAAATAAAATATTTTGGCGACACTATTACCGAAGATGGCGCCCTAACAGTTGCCGAGTTGAAAGAAAAAATGCGAGGGAATGACTCACTTCAGGTAAAACTTACAGGAAATATAAACTCTTCTTGCCAGAAAAAAGGATGCTGGATGAAAATGGACATGGGCAACGGGGAAGAAATGATGATCCGCTTTAAGGATTACGGCTTTTTTGTACCCAAAAACCTTGACGGTGAAATGGCCGTTGTTGATGGCTATGCCTACGTAGATACCATGACCGTTGAACAGTTGCGCCACTACGCTGCCGATGCCGGAAAGAGCAAAGAAGAGCAGGAGAAAATTACCGAGCCCGAGGTTAAACTCACCTACCTGGCCAACGGAGTAATTATAAAAAGCTAATATGACCAAGAAGTTGTTAGTTGCGGGATGCCTCATTGGGGCATCCTTTTTTGTAGCCTGCCAACAGCAGGACGCGAGCAAAGAGGAGAACACCGCCACCAACGCTTCCGCGGAAGGCAGCCAGGACAAAGAACTGGAAATGTACGAAGCCAGCGAGTTGGCCAGCCTGATGCGGCAGATGTACGAAGGCAACCTCGATTTGAAAAAGCAAATTGCCGAGGGCAAGGTGCCAGAAAGCTTTCCGGAAGAGTGGAAGAAAATCCACACGGCAGAAGCCACCAACCCCGAAGAGCTAAACGAAACCTTTGACGCCCTGGCCAAGCAGTACATCGCCAATATGGAATCTATTGCCGAGGCAAAATCTACAGCCGAAGCGAAAATAGCCTACAACGCCATGGTGGGTACCTGCGCCAGTTGCCACCAGATTTACTGCACTGGCCCACTGGCAAAAATTAAGAAAATGCGCTTTTCGCAAGCCGAACTTGCTGAGTAGTGAAGCGGGAGTTGGTTCATACAGCTGATGATTCGCCAACCTTTTTTGTGGCAGAATTAGATGAACACTACCACTCTATTCACGGGGCGCTTCAAGAATCGAAACACGTTTTTATTGAAGCCGGCTGGC